TACCTCTAAACACCTAAAACAGCATTCCCTAAAATTTTAATTGTTTTCTTTCATATCGCTCAAACACGCATTGCTTAAAAATTGCAGATTTTGCTTAAATCACATACCTAAAATTGCTTATCTCGTTATCGCCCCAGAGTATGGCGTACTGTTGCCATTGCTTTTTAGTCCCCAATACTTCAGTGAGTCATGCTTTGGAAATGACAATATTTTTTTATTACCCAACCCTTGAGTTGTTTTGTTTTTCATTTACCCAACCTTTTACTCACTCAATATTTAGTTTACCCAACCCTTTTCTCTTCGGTGCCACCCCCCACCATAAATAATGACCGGTCCCTAACAAAAACAATCATTTTAGGACAACTGAACCGAAGTTATGAGAACAAATGTTTAAAATAATGAAAACTTGGGAAGATAGAAAAATAAAAGCTCTTGGAGCAGTAAAACTCGAAAAACTTTAGTTGCTCCGCCACAACAGTGCTGTTACGAGGCTTTATTTAGGCAGTGAATCGTTATAGTGAATCGAAAAGTTCTCTTCTCGATAGTCCACTGTTACGGCAACTTTTCATAGATAATTTTTAGTTCGTTGAGTCCTCTCGATAGTTCACTGAAAGTTTATCCACTGAGAATCCACTAGAGAGTCTACGTTTTACTCACTTCACTCTATAGTCCACTGAGGAATTCCACTGACGAATTTGGGTTGTGCACGCCCTTTTATACTAACGGTTGAGGGAATCTTGTACACGTGATGTAGCAAGTGGTGTGATTTGTATCCAGTCAATCAACGTTGAGGTTTAAAAGTGTGTGTTAGCGTTGCTAACACGTTCCAGCTCTCACATTCTGTTTATTTAAGGCGTTGTCGCACTTGTCGAGTTGGTTCGCTGTTCAATCGATCAATTTTAAAATATGTTCACAACTTAAAATACTTATCAACTGAATATCATAGTAAAAACTTCAACTATACCTATGTGAACCTACTTTACCTACTAAACTAAATTTACTTACAATTTTATTGAACCAAGATTTTGGTGACGTAATGTTATCATTACTCAACCGCGCGAAATATACCGAAGCATGATTGACAGAAAGGCCCTAAGCATGCACATTTTCATGTCAGAGAAGAACCAGCCTTGGACTTTGAATTATGTAAACACAACAGCCCACCATGCAAGGTTATCGTCCAACTTTGACAAATTATTTATCTTGCCTAATGGACAGATAATTGACATTTTACACAAGTCCGAAATGATATATACTTTATCTGCGTTTTACAGCAAAAATGCTCATTATCTCTCCATTTGACGTAACTAGTATCTATAATTACCAGGGGTGCAAATTGAACTATTTTTATACTATTTAGATATACTTTCGTAACAGTGTAAAGAAGTAAAAAAACAGTTTCCAGCGTGGAAAACTAAATAAACATTGATGCTGCAATATTCGTACTGAAAAGTTGACAAACGTGTTTCAATAATTAAGTTACAACCTACAGCATTAATTAGCTCGTAAACAACACCTCTAGTTGTTGTATATATTCTAAGTGATGCAACAAAATTTCCTCTTAAAAACACTGAAATATATTTCAGTCGTATATATACGGCTTTTTTGAAAAAAACCCAACTTTTTGAATGTTCATACAAATTCATGAGGAAACACTTGGCCAGTATTAATTATATACCTTTTTTGATCACATATCTTGACAATTGATTGAAAACAATACAGGATTGAGTAGGTAACAACAAAACAAAAATTAGCTTCGAAAAAATAAACATGCTGTCGAAATTAAAAACCCGGAACTGAACTCGAGAAGCACATGTCATTTTTACGTCGTCTTGGACGTTCAATCTAGTTTTTTAAACCTATCTAATGGCTGCGGCCGTTATTTCACGATTGCTAATTGGTAGACTTTAGAACCTAATGTTCTCTTCCACCAATCACATCAGTTTGTTCGAGAATATTGCACTGCTGTTGCAGATTGTTGCACTGCTGATAGAGAATTTCGCACTGTATTAATTTGTTTTATAATATAGCACAAAGAAATATAAAGAAAGAAATTTTCCGATGTTTCCGTGTTGATATTGAGTTATATCAATACGGCTCTTAGCCAATCAGCGTTCAGAATTTACAAATGCTATATTATAATTTGTAATGTTTTATTAATATGTTATTGCTGTAGATCAAGCATTGCGTATTCTTGTTTTTAATTTAACGCAGTTCAGGTTGGGACATAAAAATGTATCTTTAAAGGGAAATGGCAATATATATTTTTATTTTCCCATTTGAAAGAACAATTAAAACTATTTAATAACTTCTTTTACCGATTCTTTATATCCCGCTCAGTTTTTGAAATATTTTCACTTGAAATAATGAGATGTCAGCCATCTTTGATAATTTTTTTATCTCATTAACGGTAGTTTTGGAGACGTCACAACAGGGATTAACCATATAAAATCATTCGTTGCTGACCAAATATTGATTGGTAGATGTTTTAAAGGTTTCAAGTGATCTTGATATTTCCAAGGGCATACAGAGTATAATTTTGAGTGCAAAATGATTAGTGGTTGTCTGGATAAAAATATTGCGTGACCCCTGTTGTGACGTAACATGCATATCTACAAATATTCAAGTTGGCGGACATTTCATTTCTTTCGATTAAAATATTTGTAGAAGTACGCAAGATATGAAAAAACGGTAAAAGAGTTTTCTATATGGTTTTAAATGTTCTTTCAAACCAGAAAATAAAAAAATATATTGCCATTTCCCTTTAACTGAATGAAAACATTTGCTTCAAGGAATATGGCAATAAAAATTAACTTTGTCGTACTTGCATTGATCGAACGTATCCATGTATACGAAGACCCTTATATGAAGACCATTTGCAACTTATTTGTACCTTGGCCACTTTTCGGAAACTTGGGACCAAAAACAGTGTACAGTCCGCCATCTTTGTATTATAATTGATTTAATTAACTGAATTTTTGATAGGTCACAAGCAGGATAAACTTGTTAAAACGTCTTCATGTCATAAATTTCCTCGGAAAGTTTCTTAAAATGTTAGGACCTAATTGAGTACTAAAAACACTTCTGCAAATCGAGTTTCTTATTAATAATGGCATTTGTTTTGGAAGAAAATAGTTTTGTTTTTTACCCTCCTTGTGCCGTGGTGTATTTTAATTTGTAGCTTAAAAGTATTCCTTAAAACTATTTCGAGTAAACAAAATAGTTAAAATTAACTTTGTAAATACTGGTTTTATAAATTTAAACTATTACGGGATCGGTATAAATGAAACTGTTTTAAAAGTTTGGCGTTGTTTTTTGTCATCTTCGCTTTTTTGTGCTTTATATAGTTCACCTCCACTTCGGCAACAATTATTACTGAATCACTCATGAACAAAAAAGCATATAATTATCGTTAAATAGATATGGCAATATAAATTAACTTTGTCTTATTTAAAAGAACATTTAAAATGATTTTTAAACTTCATTTACAATTATTCCGTATCTCGCTAATTGGTTTGCGAAATAAATCGACTTATTTTGATCAAATGCAGCGTATATTCCGCCATCTTGGATATGCAATCGATAGGGGTACATTAAACAGCATATATGAATAGAGTTTTATATTGTGTTACCTATTCATTTGCCAGCTGATTAATTAACATTATTCACGCTGCCCAAATTACCAACATTTGATCTGTATGTATATATAAAGTTTTCCCAGCATCCGCTTCAGTTCTCCATATATAAAAATGGATTAAAACGTTTTCAACGTTTGCTTTGTCGTGAAATAAGGTTTCAATGCCATCTGGCAGGAATGAAGAATAGCTTTGCTTTCATAAGTTGCTGTAACTGATCCACCCGATCTTCACTACACGTGTAGCGCATGCATGTTGTCCTGACGTATCAAAGAGCACGCATCGTTTGTTTCTATAAGTCTGTGACGTAGTATCAAATTTATTTTGATTAAAACACTTTATAAAGGGCCTACAATCCTTGACAATATACTATGGGACAATGTAGTTTCAAAAACGTTATATAGACATTGTACAACTTTTCCACGTGAATATTCATCCCTCCCTCCCCCCACCCTTTTCAATGTTGCGTTGATGCCAGATGACGTCTCGTGTGCGATGTATCCATTTTTTGTGACATCAACACTGAACGGGGGTCGCGGGGTGAAATGAACAGAAGAAGTTATATAAACTTTCACTATTTGTCTCATAGTTTTTGGCAAAGATTGTCTATATCGTGCTAGGTCAGTTACACTTCTATAAAACTGAAGTTAACTTTACGATTACAGAGTCAAGTGCCCGTAGTTTGGGCATTTGGCGTGATGTAATCAATGCGTATAACCGTTTTGTAATATGTACATCATTACTCTATTGTACGGCGTCATTACTATATTTAGAATGATTGTTTTTCGAGGTTACGTAATTTGCATTAGTTTGCGCTTTTCTAATGATAAAAACAGGAACATCATTACAGAGAAATATTGCTCGAGTTACGTTTACTTCACAGTGACTAAGGATTACACAAGCCACACAGGTACTTAAGAACAGTTACATTAAGCCCAACCTTGATGACGTGATTGATTATATGTGATAAAGACTTATTGCATGACGTAAGCGCAATGCGGCTATAAATTGCATCCTCGCGCGCTTGCGACAACAGTGAGTGAATACCAATTGATTATTTCAATAAAAATGGTCTACCATACCGACATTACGGATCAGATGCGTGGACATGTGGTTTATCTTGGCGCGAAGGGAAAGTATTCGTTACGAAAAATTGCGGAAAAGGCGGGTGTTTCGAAATCAACTGTTCGTCGTATTTTAAGTAAAAGCAAAAACCAACCATTATCAGCGGAAAGACGAGGAAGGCCCAAAAAATTGTCACCTCGAGATAGACGCCACTTATTGAGATCGTTATTTAAATTGCGCGAAAACAATCCTGGCTTTTCAATTAAATCTTTGGTCGCTTACAGTGGACTCCATTTATCAGCCATTTCGTACAGAACATTTTGTCGTGAGCTGCATAGTGAAGGTTTTCAGTATCTACAAGCGCGCAAGAAAGGACTAGTAAGTCGATCGAACCGCGTTAAACGAGTGAAGTTTGCACGAGAATGTAACAAAATACTACAAAATGAGCCTACGTATTTCCACGAGGTTATTGCCTTTTATCTCGACGGTGTTTCATTCGTGTACTGACAAGCCAAGACCAATGGCGCAAGCCGTAGCATCAAAGGGTAAAGTGTGGCGAAAAAGAGCCGAAGGTTTAAAGATTACGGCTAAAAGATCCAAAAACCTGGCAGGGGGAAAGCGCTTGCATTTACTGGTCGCAATTGCATACAACAGGTGAGTGTTTTTTGTTGAGGAATTTACGAAGATGAATGGCGCATATTTCAGTGATTTTTAAGCAGAATTTCCCGGTCCTATTTCATGGACGAGAATGCAGAAAGATGTTTATCATGGATAACGACCCTTCGCAAACAAGTACCATGGCATTGAAAGCTATCAAGGATCAAGCTGCGCAGCTTTTCTGTATACCTGCATGCTCGTTCACCCGACCTCAATCCAATTGAAATGTTTTCCATATAGTCAAAAGCAATCTATAGATGCAGGTTCGAGCACAGGGAATCAACCATGAAACATGGATGGAGTTCAAGGATAGAGTTTCTAAAACACTGCTAGATACTTCTGTAGATTTTATAAATAACTTAGTAACGAGTATGCCTAGACGCATCGACGCAGTAATGGCCGGGAAGGGCTATAGAACCAAATATTAGCACGTTTGTTCGCTAGGCACGTGACACTGAGCTCACTAGGCAACAAAGCTCACTTAAATCTAGACCTTATATTGCAGGGGCCTACTTTGGGGGCCAAGGTCGCCGTTGTTATGTGCAACATTGTGCGACATTAGGCGTCATTGGCAATTTTCAAAGAAAAGTAGTGTGCGTCGCTGGGCGAAACTGGGCGACATTGAGCGACATTGGGCGACATTGGACAAAACTGAACAGTAATATCCAGATAACATCAAATATTATAATTCACAAATTATGCATCTACATAGAAAATACAACAGTAAATATCCAAATATAATTTAGTTATCAAAAATTGGTTCATGTGGCAAAGAACACAA